GATGTCACATGGGACAGTGTTGAAGACTGCACAAATCCAAGCAGATGACGTCAGTTGCTCTTCCCTTATCCACCAATACTGCAGCCCCATCACAAAAAGCCACCAAATTTGTCAGGCACTATTTTCCCTTTGGTTACCACCAATCACCTCCTCATTTTCCATATGCCTTAGCAATTGGCTTATGTACTTCCCAGCACTGCAAGGAGTGATTGGAGGTATCAATGTATTCTCACTTCTGCTGCACATCAGGAGGTTGAAGTGAGGAAACTATGCAAAAAAAACCAAACAACAAACCACCAAAACAAACAAAAACCAGCACAGGGCAGTTCCCATCATACTTTACCAAACACATGAAAAAGTTTTTTCAGAAGCTCACCACAGAGATGGACAAATTCCCCCACTCCTTATTACCATCAGCACTTTCAGATGGTGTAAGCTAGCTTTTGGATGTTCAGAAATTCCCACTATTCTCAAGGACACATTTGAGACTTACTTATTACTTGGATTACAAGCTTGCAAAGTACATCCAGAACAAACCCTGAAGGGTATGTGTGCTTACTCCACATATCTTGAGAGGTTAGGATGCCATCTCCAAGGCAGGCTGCCTGAAGACTCTCTGCAGGACAGCTCTACAGAGGACACAGGAAGGATGCAGGAGGAGGAAGAAGTGCTGTAGTTATGATCATCACAAACATCACTCTTTCAATGAATTATGGACATGGAGAAGCTGCACGGTATCTTCACAGGTAGCAGCTTTACACTGCACAAAACTGCCAATGGATTATAAAACCATGGAAATATTAAATATGGAAAAACAGATCTACATTTTGGAAGCACTTTGGTCAAAATAGCTACATGTAAACCTGGGACTCAGGAACTCCTCTGAGCTACTGGACCCAGGCAGGAGTCTTGGCTCCCTATCCCCAAATGTTGATTCCCTCAAACAAGACACACCAGCAGTTCAACTGGAAAAGAGGTAAAATACACTTCAAACAATCCAGAAGGTCCAGGGACTTCTTTGATCCAGTATAACATGCACTCCCAGGTGAATTTCAATGGAGTCATTAAATGTTGGGTTGCACTTCCATAGATGCTAAACTCAAGTTGCTGTTGTATCAAGCTATTAAGAGGAGTCACCTAACTTCAGTAGTCTTTCCAGAAAAGGACAACAAAAGACAGCAGCCTTGAATGAGGTACAGCAACTCAAAGTACATTTTCAGCAGCCACTGCAGATAGAGTTCTGCTCCTCGTTCAGAGGAGGTGGTAACACCAGCATTGTCTTCATGCAGGTCAACCTCCTGTTCTGATTTGGTACAAAAGGTCTCAATTTTCTCAGGCAACTATAGTCTGCATCTACCTGAAAGTCACTCTCTGCCTTTACAGAACAGCTTGTGATCCCTGGATTTTTCTTACTTGTATTACATGCACTCCTTGGCACAGGGAGATGAAAGACACAGCAATTTAAACAGAGAAAATAATCTATGCTCTAATAAGGAGAACGCACTCTCCTTCAGGGCACAAGCTGACGCCCAAAGTGGAAGACAGGTAGTTCACAACATTTTTATTGAGTACGCAAGGTCAGGTCAGGCCATCCGGGGGTGTCAGTGCTGTCTCTCTTGTTACACATCCCTGCACTATGTTCTTACAGCACAACATTCACAGCACCACAGACTTTCTCGCTAAAGGCCTCATTTTGCATGGATGAGGTTTTAGATCCTGGTATAACAAAGCTTTTGATTGACAGCCTGTCCAAGGAACACTATAAGAAAAACTGTTTTGAAGATGAAAACGGCTCCTGACTAAAGCCTCTAACCTCTTTATGAGCTGCCTGGCAGCTTTTACTTGTGATTTATTTTCTTCATGTGTTCAAGTGAAGCAGAAAACACCAAACTGTAGTGGTCTACTTGTAACTATCATTTCAAGAGAGGTACCATAGTTTATGACAGGTCTCATCTTCCCCACTTACATTTCCACAGCCATGAAAATAGGAAAAAAAAAAGCACCCACAAACAGCAACAGAAACTAAAAAAACATCCTTTTTTTGGTGCTGCTTCACAAATTCCACAACAAACAGAGAAAAGATGACAGAAATCTGAAGAACAGAACTTCTTCATTTTATCTAGAATCAATCTTATCCTGAAGGAAGGAAGATAGGAGCCAAGAAAAAAATCTTGGACTGTTTCTGGAAGGAAAATTTGCAATGACTTGCATGTTACGCAGGCAAGAAGGATAGCTTTTTAAAACTGAGATAAGAGAACAATTTTTCACAGGGAGCAGGAAGCAGAGGAGGTATAGTTCATACATTACACAAAACAAAAAATACTGACAATGTAGAACTATGGCAAAATTTCCAGACATGAATTATTGTATCTTCAACATCCTCATTGCTTCACAGGTTCAGGAAGATAGCACAACATTGTGTTTCCTACATTTTTTGCTTTTCACTCTTCAGTCTAGTGAGGGATGAAATAACAGCAAGAATCTAAATTTACTATCACAACTATAAACTATTCTTGACTGAAAATGCAGGTTATCTAAATAATTTTGCTACACAGAAGGAACAGGGGCTAGCATGGTAAGATTATCAAATTACCTTTTCCATTATGAGACTAAAATACGTATGGATTTTAAGGCTTCAAGCACAGTCTTGTCAGAGACTTGGATATTATAACATCAGGCTTCAAACAGTTAAGTACTTCAAGCAGCTGCAGAATTGCCTCACTCTAGCATACACTTGCCAACAGCTAAAAATTACTGCATATATAGTATCTTTTAATTCTTATCACATTGTAATAAAAGGCCTTGTAGTGGGAAATATAGTCAATTCAGCCAGATGCTAATATTATATTAGCCAGTGATGGAGAAAGCTGTTCTCATAATTTTGATCTAAATACACTGGGCTATCACTCTGGAATTTTTGTGAGCTGCAGTAACATAACTCAGTGCTTATAAAACCAATACCAGTTAAAAGTAAAACCCCAGTATGCATTCTGTGGCTGCACTGGCACAGGGACAAAGCGCTTTGCTGTGTGACAAGCAGTCTGGGTAAGAGAACTAGTAAATTAGTCAAAAACTAGTGTGCAAAGCAGAGCACGCTACACATACCATGTTTCTAATCTCTGCTGCATTTCAGTAAAGTGACCAACTAAAACACTTGCTGAGTGCTAATTGTAAATTTTAGTACACGAGTACATACATGCACTTGGTTTAAGCCTTTGTTATTATACATTGATGAAATACTTAACCAAGAGGATTGCAATTAATTGTGACAACCAGATCTGAAGGCAGACTACAAATAGCAATGAATATCATTTGTTCTAAACAGCATACAATATAATCTGCTATTGTCTCTTTAATGTAATTGCAGTTTATAAACAAAATCTGAGACAGCTAAGTCGGTTTATTGTTTAGGACTTTAAAGCTTATAACATATCCACAAACATCTACTACTCCCTTATCTGTTTCTGGGACTCAAACAAGAAAAAGGGAGCAAGACCAGATCAGAATTTCATTCATCTTACTACCCAACTTGTTTGTGATATCTAATTCTGCACAATTAGACAACCTGAAGTTATTACTTTAAAAAAAAGACCAGAAAAACAAATTCCAGAGATATGACTCACTGGTACTCAATTGGCAGTTCTCAGAAACAGAACAGCACAAGGCAACAAACAATGCTGGCCAAAAAAAAAACAAATGCAAAAAAGATCACAGTAATCAAGTTAGTCTGCAGATGAAAAGAAGTTTTATTGGACACCTGACATAAAACACTCTAGAAGTAAGCTCCTCGAGACAGAGAAAGGAATCTTTGTAAACGTCTGAGTTAATACAGCTAATTAAAGCAGACAGGAGCTTTCATAAAGCCACCTAAACATCTGTCAGGATTTAGCATTAACCAGGAGTGCTCAAACTGCTCAAACCATCAGACCTAGACTGAGGACCACCTCAAAGCCAAATGTAGTGACAAGTGACTGTGCTGTCCTAGGAGCAGACAAGAAACCATAGAAACTCCAAACTGTGCCAAATGTACATCATTTCCTGCCTACTTGCTCCTCTAAATAATACACTATTGATATACCTGATCCCCCATTACACGCTACCTCTGTGCTGTGATGCTGACAGAAAAGTTAGGACAGTTGACCTGCTCTCCTCTGCTTGCTGGAGCTGGGAACAGAAGTACCATTCACTTCTGCCTGTGGCCAGGCACAGCAGCCCAGTGACAGCAGACACCTGAACGTGGAAGTATAAGAACCTCAAAATCAAGGCTAGCACTGACAGGGAGGGACCCCTGCTTTAGCCACAGCCAGCAAAAAGAAAAGAAAACAGGGAATGAAAGAATCATCCTTCTACTGGCAAATTACTGTACCTTCTACTATTACAGGGACTTCTTGAACCTCAATTAATTAGTGAACCCAGTTCATTAGGATGAACAGCATCAAAATGATGTAACGTGGTATCTGTGTATTCCTTTCTACTCCTTCCACCTACAAGTATACAATCTCCCCTGAAGGAACCTTAATGATAAAAGCAGTTGAACTGTCTTTGTGACTTGAACTTTGGTTTAGCAGTTTGAGTACTTGAAAGATACTAACTAGATCTTGTCAAAACTATGTGGGTCAAAAGTGCCTTGTCATATTTCATACTTCAGTGGAATATAACAAAAGAAATATTCAGTATGTAGACAAAGGTTGCAGACAGAGGTCTGCATTAGGGACCATATAACCCCTCAGAAATACCCTGTTTTCTTTAACCTTGAGTAGTGCTCCACTCTGCTGACAGTCCTGCTATGGTCAGTGAAGTCAGGTCGTTCTCAAGACAAAATTGTGAGCCTGTGACCCTTCCTTATTTCCAGAAGGAAATTTCTGGCAGTGGTGACCTAAGACAGAAGTCCAGACCCCTCCAGAAAAAATCAGGTTCATGATCTAACAAAACAAGAGCAATTCCAGAACATACATAGGACAGCTTTTTACAAATGAGGCACTGTTTTTAAATAAACTTACAGGAAGAGTGGATACTCGGAAAGCTTTTTCTGCCTTCAGACACCAGATCTGGATCACCTGTGCAGTGCATTTCAGAGTTCATTACTCCATCTGGAAAGCAGCGGTAAAAGAAATCGGGACGCGGTCTACAAAAAACACCATGGACATTAAAAATATAAAAGCTGTAGTAACAAATAAACCTCAAATTGATTATTACATTTACTGCTTATTACATACAGAGTTCATTCCCTCCTGCCTTAACACAGCAACAGAAGCCACAGAATCATTTAGGTTGGAAAAGACCCTTAAGATGCCAAGACCACCACCAAATCACATCCCTCAATTCAAGGTCACTTTTTTTGCAGGGAAGCTTCCAGCACAGCGTGCAAGGAGGAGTTGTCTCAGAAAATGAACATGCAGAGTTACTCTTGCCTAGAGCAATCAATCTTGCACAGCACTTCCAGTGACAGAGCAAAGCAGCATAGCAACCCCACAAAATTGTGCAACTCTAGCTGACACGTCTAGCTGAGAGCAGGACTACAACTCAGGCTGCAAGACTGGCACCAAAACCACCATGAAATCCTAATATCAGCCTTGATGCTGACTCCCTAACTACATGGAACAAACCTCGGAGTTTCTTTTGATGCTGCTCTGAGCTTGAACGATAGCACGGAGGTTTGACTGGTGTCATACTGATCCCGAGCTAATAAACCGTGTAGAAAAGCAAGGCAAATGACCACAGATTCAGAGATGAGCTGACAGAGCAACTAGTTGGCTTGGAGAGAGGGCAAAATGAGCTCATGTCTGCCTGAAGATGGTGCAGACACTCTTAATTATATTTCAAAAGCACTCTCAAAATAAGTGTCAAGAACCATTATCTTCAGGGCATGAGGTTCATCAGAAACCAAGCACTAACACTGCTTCCTCAATGCTGCAAATCAGGTAAAGTTGAACAACAAATGCAGAATCGGACTCTATTAAATAGTGCATGAATTCAACTCAAATACATATATCTTTTTCAGCTGAAGTTATTAAAATTCTTTATAAAGAGATGAAAAATACCCCAAAAATTATTTTCCAGAGAGAAAATAATCGCCAATAATTGTTTGCTAGTATTTTTCTGAGCCCTTCATTCAAACTTATGCTTCCCTAAAAAACAGCCTTGCTAGGAGTCCACTTATGTCTTAGCTCTAAGGTTTGTTCTGCCATGGGTCTTGCTATTACCTGGAAATACCACATTCAGCAATATGCTTCACACAAAATGCCGAGTTATAGAGACTCAATTGATTCCTGTTTAATCAGCCTAGTGGCACTGGCATCTAAACTCCCATGAGCTGTGTCTCTTCCCTTCTGTGTTGCCCATTTAATGAACTGATTTCAGCTCACACCTCTCCTTTCCAACTCCTCACCTGTCCGTATCTGCCAACCAGTCAAACAAATAACAAAATACAAGGGCATAGACTCCTAGTCTTGCTAATACCTGGAAATACCACATTCAGCAATACGCTTCACACAAAATGCTGGGTTATACAGAGACTCAATTGATTTCTGTTTAATCAGCCTAGTGGCACTGGCATCTAAACTCCCATGAGCTGTGTCTCTTCCCTTCTGTGTTGCCCATTTAATAAACTAATTTCAGCTCACACCTCTCCTTTCCAACTCCTCACCTGTCCATATCTGCCAACCAGTCAAACAAATAACAAAATACAAGGGCATAGACTCCTACCCCAGCTGGATGTCACATAATGAAGTTGTACAACACCTGCACCAGCAAAAAGACAGCTTCATGGGGGCTCCTCCTAATTCAACGTGCTTTGGAGCAGCAACTATCTTTTTATTAAGATGTATTGTATTTGTCAACTCTGTCTTCATTTCTCTGAACAGTTAAAGCCATCATTTATAACATGACAAGACTTACCTTCCCACTATTAATTTAATAGTATTTGTGCAGACGCCATTCAGAGCTAGAGCCAAGGAAACAGCTACAAAACAGAATGAACAAACAGAACAATAATAACCTAAATACCAAGCTATAAATTGCAGCATTACAGCATTTGATTTACAGACTGAAACCTCCACTGAAATGAAAACCCAATGATCTTTGCAGCCCACAGTTGTTCTTATTACCCAGATTAAGGGCAGACCCCAGAGCATGATAATAATCATGACTGACTTCGTTCTGCTTTTACTCTTGAGAAATCTTATTTCTTTATGCAAGGCTTTTTCCTATCATGCCATTTGCACAGACATAAATCATCAAATGGAAACAAGTAGTAGAGAATCAAGTTCTGTGTTTATCAGTTTTGTAATTTACTAGATGAAAATCTTACACTCTTTGGTTCAAGGAGAATTCCTGTCTAGAACTATACATAAGATACATATACACATATGTGTATGTGTTTATGTATGTAAACAGTCCACTTTCAGGATAGAGATTTGCCTTCTGGCTAAAAATATAATTAGTTTATTTCTTTTCTTTTTCTTTCAAAAGGATGTGGATGTTTTAACTAAAACTCTTGACATTTTCCCCTCACATTCACTCCCAGGATTAACCAACTTCCCTAATAAAACTGGAGTAATAAACAGTAACTGTCATGGCAGGTATGAATAAATCATCATCTTTACTTGTGCTAGCATGCCAAGTCCCTAGACTTTCTGAAGTACCTCATCTAAAGCCTGTGAAGATCTCTGCCTTGATCCAGTGGCACTTGGCTCCAGTGCATACAATCCTTTTAGATTAAAACTGATTTAACATTGCAGTCCACACTGTAGCTCCCTGTTACAACACAAGAGCCACTGAATTTTCCAGCAGAACAACTACGGTAATATAATTTTTGATTATGACAGCTACATGAGCTATTTTCTCATTGGACTGCTGCCCCAGATGCTACACCTCAGCAGCACTCATCCTGTCTCCATAAAATTTTTGCCTGGGGATATTATAGATCATAAAAATGTGTGTGTTATAGGATCTATTTTTCTTTAAGTTAAAAAAAAGGTCCTCCATCAAAGCAAAAACAAGGGTTTTCTCAGACTACAGCAATAGCTGCCAGCAAAAATAAAAGAACAAGTTGATCCTAGAGACACTGATATTGTTCAAAAAAAGTCTTACACTTTCAACACCTATGTTCAGTGACCACTCAATCCCACGCTTTCTTTTTCCTCTCAAATATTTTAAAAAGTGGGAGATGTAGAGATATTTGCTTTCTGAGACACACAGTAATGTTTACTCTCTTCATTGAACTTTGTCTTGATGGTTCATTGCATACCTGACTGAACCATTCTTTCACTGTTGAATATTCCTTACAACAGTAATCCAAGTATCAAACAACAGCGTGAACAGCTGATAAACAAACTGCTTTTGCTCCTATTTTGCTCCCTTTAGAAAAGATTATATGACTTTTGGTGGGCAATATGAATCTAGTCAGTAGAGAGATGTAGGCATTTCCAGGGGAAGGATTAATAAGAGCACCTACATTAGGAAGATAACTACTCCTTGCCCTAGATGTACTGAATTACCTTTATATTAATGGCTATATATGAGGCACAAAGCATTTTCACATCCTTTTAACATCTGATCTCTCCTACATATGATGCCAAAAGAAATTCACTTTTGGGGGGATTTCCTGATCATTCACTGTGAACTTTATGCGCCAGATCTCAGCAAATCTGCAAAGCTTCACCACAGTTAATGAATCTTCACATGAGATTCACATCACCAGAGACATTAACATACTGAATCCCATTAATGTACAGTAGACTTGAACATAATTAAGCCATAATTAAGAAGTTCCACACTTATGGCACATACTGAACAGCAATACTCTGTATTAAGGTTGGGGCTTCCTTAAAGTCTGGGCAGCAAGAATACTGGGGAAACTGGCAAATTTTCCCCTGGACATTATAGAGGCAAGTGTAACAGAGAGCAAGCACAACACAAAAAATGAATGTCTCTTGAACAAAAAGGTGAGAATAAGTGATGGAGAAACTAGTAGAAATGAAACCCAGAACTGTGACTGTACGCATTTTATGAATCAGAGTTATTTCTACTGAATGGACTTGTCAGTGAAATATCACTACCAGACACTTCAGAGCTTACTACAAATGACTGGCAGCAGCTAACACAAACCTAGGATCTTTTCACACTTGTGCTTGAGCAACTGCTGAAAGAACAAGCCAAGGAAACCCAGTCCCATCTAAAAATAAATTTTCCAAGGCAGATACATAGTGCCATTTACATCCTATCTAGCTAAGGCAAGGCTGAGTATCAGTTTGACCTTACAATCCAAGGGCCAATAAATTAACATGCAAATTAGTCAGTAAAACAGAATTTCAGAATTAGGCATACTTCAAACATACTGCCAACAAAATCATTTGCAGTTCTTGGTGTTTCAAAGCATCCCCTGCCAGTGAAAGCATCTTAGTCAGTTTTGGTCTCTGGCAATATCTACATAAGAAGGGTCTGGGCACATATCACTAGAAGACATATCTCAAAAGACAGGAACAGTCAAAATTAGCCGGGACAGTTTAAGACTTGCCACCCCCATCGTCTACCTGCTCCTCTGCTCAAAGTTGCTGCCTACAACTGCAATTGGACCTCACCCATAACACAGCTATAGCAGATTGCAGTCCAGGATTAAGAGCACATCAACTCCATGGGCAGTTTAAGATGAAACGTCAGCTCATGATTAGAAAAGCTGAGCCATGAGCGTGGATTTTGCAATGGGGAAACAGTCAGCTCCAGGAGGAGGTCAGAGAAAACAATGAGAGGAGTAATTTCCTGCAGTAAGCAGCTGAGTCTCACAGGACTTCTCTGTCAAACCCTTAATTTAGAATAGCTGCAAGTATAAATAAGAGGTAAGTAATAGATTGGTTGTGACAGAAAAATATATATCTGAACAGTCTCTCAGGTGGTCTTGACTCTGTTGATTGAATTCTGGTCCTTGCTAGCTAGATTGTGGAATTAAGGCACAGAATTTGAACATTTAGAGATATACATAAAACCAAAGGCTTTTGTGAGGTGGCTTGCAACTATAACTGCACTGAAAACTACTGTAATGGACTGCAACAGAGACAGGTTTTCTTCAAGGCTTAGACTACAATAGCAATCAATCTCTGAGAGCTATCACACATTTTCCATCTTGCAGTATGACATACATTACCTAAGAAAGCCTCTTTAATTTCAGTCTTGTCTGTTCGCCGGATTATTTTCACCACAAAAATGACTGCTAGTGGTGTAAGGAATGAAATTGCCTGTAAGAGATAACAAATATCATGTGTGAGAGCATCAATTCCTTTGCAGTCCAACTGATTAATAATTAGTTCCAGTTAGCTCCATTTAAACTGGAAGGCTGAACGATCTTTATCAAGCTCCTGACCTTAAGCAAAGTGGGATGATTTGTCTTTGCAACTACTGGGCAAGGAATACATTAAAACTGTAATATAACTGTGGGTTATAATTGATTTGTAACTGCCTAGAGCTGCATTTAAAATGTCAGCTTCATAAATGACAAAGCAACAGTCTAAGGCCCACAGAATTCATTCCCTGATCCACACAGATCTCGTGCATTTTTTCCACACTAAGCCTGGCTGAAAGAAAGCTGCCCATCCAGGCTGTGCTGTGTAAGACCCTACTCCACACAACAGGCTCCAGCATCAACCTCCTGACATTTAAAAATGCTCTTCATTTTACACTTTGTTTCCTTTTTAACCATTATTCTTGAGTGCATTGGGAAGATCATGTCTTTATGATTCTTTTAAGTGTTTGGATATGGAGACAACTCCTTGGTTTTGTTCAAAACCAGAAAAACAATACTAGGTATACTCATTGGTTATGCAAAACCATATTCTTTTATTGTCAGTGATGTAGGACAGGATTCCTACCATAAGGAATGTGAAATGGCATCTGCACACCAATGCACATGCTTTATTTCTGTGAACAGCATCTGAGACAACTGCTTGATTTTGTTCAAAACCAGAAAAACAATACCTGGACATCTACAGGTATACTCACTGATTATGCAGAACCATATTCTTTTATTGTCAGTGATGTAGGACAGGATTCCTACCATAAGGAATGTGAAATGGCATCTGCACACCAATGCACATGCTTTATTTCTGTGAACAGCATCTCCTTTATCAGGGTTATCACTGGGCTGTGGTTGCTGATTCACTGCAAATGTGCCAGTTGTCCCGAAAGCATCCTGCTTCATGCAGGGTCTGTATACTGTACGTTGTCCTCCCAAAGCAGGTATTTACTGTCTTTCTCCAGAGAGACATATCTGTTTCTCCCAAGCACAGTACCAGGGAGCTTTTCATTAGTAGTTTTCCACAGAAACTATGATTTTGCTATCAACTGTTCCTTCCTTCTGTCTCAGACCCTCAATTGCAGAGGTAAAAGGCACCTTGTAGGCAAGGTAGTCCATTAGCGCTTCTTGCTGCTTCTGGTCTAAGTTCTCTTCACAACCACATTTGTTCTAAAACAAACTGAGGTATTCCAAAAGCATTTCTTCTCTTGAAGGAAAGCAAAAATGACTGGGTTTTTACACTAGGCAAAAACTAAGCTGCATATGGCACAAGGGGCACCAGGGCTTAAGTAAGATTATGCTATCTTTACTGAGGCTGAACAGTGCCTTACTGCTTAAACAGCCCTATTGAAATAAAAAACAGACAGGACAGACATGTTATGACAGAAGATGTGTGATTCTCCTCTTTTTATAATATAGATTAATTCCAGTCCTCGTTTTATATTCAAGTAGAAAACATGAAAATGCACTGTATTTGCTATTCTGGTGGCACATCTTGGACCAGATTCCTCTCACCTGCATCTGCAAAATATTACCTAACTCAGTGAGCCATGCAGATTAAAACAGTCTGAAGTTTGCTTCCCTTTTTTACATATAGAAAGGCAGATACCAGGTTTTGTGCAAAGAGATACACCATTTCTACCTAAAACTCTCTTCTGTCTACAATGTGTGTGAGATTAAAGCTAAGATGCCAGTGCCATGTTACTGCTCCAGAGATGTTCACTTCCTCAGCAATAGCTTAAATTTCTGCTTTCAGAGACAAGGAATGAAATAAAAATGGTTAAAGCAAAACCTAGAACTTTTAGTTTCATTCTAAAAAGTAAGGTTTGCCACCCTGAAAGAAGAAAGATATTCACATTCCACTGCTGAAGAACGTGTAGAAATACAGCCAGGCTGACAGGCTTACAGTGGTGGTTTAATGGAGTTAGAAATCTTCTGAACAAGCAGGAGCAGCAGAAAATATCAACAAAGAAAAGAATTCAAGTGGCAGCTTTTTCCAAACTACTTCACAATCGATCTTCAGAAGTCTGGCCAAACTGCAGATTTCCTCATATTTCACAAGCATATGGATTTCTGAGGGAGACGAGGAAGTACTCATCTTTGCAGTATGTTGCTGTTCCTTACACTAAAGCATTAGCTGGAAGGTGTTTTTTATTCTGCAGCAAAATGCACATATAAAGAAAGTTTGGCTTGCTACAGACTCCTTTTTCTTTATTTCGCAAAAGGGTTCTGTAAGCTCGTATTCGTAATAGATTTGGCGACAGTCTAATGAGCAGTGCTCTCCTTGGATGCATCTCAGTGCCGTTTTCTTTTCCAGCAGTGAAACATTCCAACATTGCCTTGCTTTTGTGAAACACGGACAAAATCTCTCTCATTCATTATTCATCCTGGCAAGCCAGAGATATGCTAAAGTTACAGGGACTCCCACATACTTCCTTGAATCCAAGAGAAGTTGACAGCACCTTACACTTTCCAAGGCAAGGAATATCCACTGACAGACACACAGAACAAGGCTCAGGTCTTCTCAGTCCTTGGGGCTTGCTTCCTACCCATGCAGAGGTCACCTTTGTCTAGTTTGGACCTGGATTTGGAGTATTCACAACATTTCTCTTGAAGTCAGAGCTCTCAGCATAGAAAAAAATTCCAACAGTTCATAAACTCTTAGAGACTGCTTTCTGGTCAGCCATAGCCATACGTGTCTGTATCAGAGTACACCACCAGTGGCAAGAAATTCCTTATGCAATGAAGGCTTATGATCAACGCAAGAGTTGGATTTTTCTTCTTTTTAACGAAAGAAATAAGGAAAATAACATTTAGAAATTATCTGCATTGCTTAATTTAAGAAGCTGCTCACCGAGTTGCTGAGATGTCATGGTCTGAGCCAGAAACAGAACGCAGATGATACGAACATTACTGACTCAGAGCTGCATGAAATTCCACCTGCCAGGAAGTATTTCACAAGCTGGCTCTGTGGCAAGTGGTTAACAAGCAAACACACCACACTTATATCCCAGAATTGTGCTTCCCAGTGGATACTGCCTAAACTATAGAGGAAAAGACTACAGATTATCCCAGCTGGTTTCAAAACTAGTTTCACCTCTGCAGCAAAACCCTGTTCAATAATTCACTATTGGTTCTCAAACTCTTCAGTTACAAACACAAATCTGAAAAACCATGCAGAAAGGTAATGCTCAGCAAAAGGAAAACTGGCAGAATTAAACTCAGAGTCTTCCTTGGTACAACAACGTAACATTCGGTTTTGTGGGGTTATTTGGTTTTATACAGTTGTCTTTCATTTCAGGAAAAACATATATTTTCACCCATCCAGGCTGAAAAAGTACTTAATAGAGCTTTTTAATGCAATATAAACAATATGTTGTTGAATTTAAAGCCAGGACTTCAACCTTTATGTCTCAGAAGGCTGGGATATATTGTTGCCTTGTAAATAGGAAGCACCTTAATGTTATTCCTTAATTAAAAAGTTTTTATAACTAAAGGCCTGAGCCACTTGAAAAAAAAACATTGGAGATAAATTACATAGCCAGCTTGCATATATTCTGAATTTAAGCATTAATCTGAAAAAGAAAAATTCTGACTTCACTGAAGATACAGCAAAAGATGCTTTGAGGTAAGGCTACCCGTATTGGACCTCATCTGCCATGCCCATTCCTGCAAAGTCTCCGTGTCACTAATGAAGCTTTTGCAAATACTGACCTACTTGTTTTAATAGCCTGAACTGTACCTGTAATTTCTTAGCATTCTGTAGTGGTCTATCTTACTGAAGAAGAAGTTAGATATGTAGAATATTACAATTGTTAATCATTGCTAACAATGAATTTTGATAACCAGACAAGCCATCAGAATCAGCCAGCCAGTGTCCACGTCAACATGAGCCGTGCCGAGGAGAGCCATGAGAACGGTGACAGCAGAGCAGCTCTAGGATATATTTATTACACTTGTTGGCGGAAGCTAAAACAGAGATTTTTTTCTATGTGGAAAAAAAATAGTATTTGGACGCAAATATCTCAGTGCCTAACATGCCTAAAACAAATAGGATTTAAAAATTGAAGTACTTAATCTAATAAGAGCATGGCAAAGAGATTTTGTAACATCACTCAACCAGCTAATTCCAAAAGTGTCTCTAATCAACTCTCTAGCATCCCTCCACGTTTACACCAGCTTAAATCTTAAACTGTAAAAATCAACATTCGTAAATTCAGTCACCAGGTAATGCTGCTTTTATAAACTCCCCATGATTTCCTACATTTTGCCATTTTGGGCATCCCTGGTTTGGAGAACAACTGTCATTACAATTAAAGGAACATCCTATACCTCTGAAAGGTTTCCTCCTGCTTATCAAAAGAAAGTGTACTTTGTTTACAGCCATCAAATGACCAATAACCCTTTAGTACTTACAAACATAAGACGTGTAGGTATGTTGTCTGATTGCACCAAAGGATTTTTATACAGCCAGATCTCTTCTGGCTGAATAACCCGCTGGAATGGATCCAAAAATTCCGTGAAACTGAAAATAACAATTAAAGACACAATTTAAGATTATGACCAAAAAACCCAGAAGAATCCTAATGATTTAAAACTTCCCCCAAAGTTAATTATGGTATAGCATGCATGAATTACACATATAATACAATTGCTGTCCTACCTCACTGCTTTTTAGTAATACAACCTACACAAATATACACTTAGGAAAATTATTTTTTAAAGTCTATATTGCACAACTTTATAAAGTTCCATAAACTCTACTGCAGAGAATAAATTGCCGTTTTATTTTTGTGGGAAAAGTGTGCAAAGAATTAGAAAAATCACCTGTGGCAGATGTTTTACACTGAAGAAATTAAAGACCAGATATCGAATACAGTATGTGCCTTTCAAACATCAAGACCCAGACTTTGAAGTATGACAGTTGTATTTGCAGGACCACAAAGCAGGGAGAAAGAAGCAGCCCAGACAACTCCTTCTACTGATAGGAAGGACAGATAACGTCAGAGAATATCTCCAGAAGAGACTTATTCCTAAAACAGGATGGGCTTATAGAAACTCTTTTTTTCAGATTCCCAGTATTTTCATTTGGCTGTCAAACTTAAGAAGAATTAAGCTCTATCAGGAATGTCTCATTCTATTAGAACTGACTGTTTAATTTCATTCTCATGCTATTTAGCCCTCAAACAAACAAACAAACAAACCCCTAAATCAGCAAACTAACCAACCAAAAAAAAACAAACCACAGGTTTGTAATTGTTATTTTGAAATTAAGAGCAACAAAATAACATCCTGAGGTTACATTTTTATATAGAAAGTACATCATTTGTGTGGCTATCTTCTGTCCAGCACTGAAAGAGTACGCTGGAATTGTGATCTCTGACTGCAGTAAGAAGTTTAAAAAGCTTTTTAGGACTACATAAACTGTGTCTCATTTTTAAACCATAAGCCTTTTTTCCAGAGTCCTTCACCGTCCTTTTACTGTTGTTGGCTTTGAAGTTATATCAGACTTCCTGTGAAATTTTGCCTTTACATTACTCATTTCAGGGCTAGCTTACCAGGACTGGAAGAATGGCTACTGAGAGAAGACACAGAGATCAGCTTTATGCAGATTGGTCTTACCCACTAACACCATGGAGGCAGAACACAAGAGACCCAAAGCCTTTTTTACTGTAAATTTCTCTAAGCCAAGGGCTTTAAACCCCTCCAAAACCAGGTTTAATAAGCTGCATTAGCTACAGTCTCCCACATCCCCAGCACACGCTACTGCTGACCTCCTTCACCTGAGCACACACATAGGCTCTCGCTAGACAGAAGGTGCAAAACTTGGCCTGCTCCAAAGACCCCAACCGACCTCTTCTTCCTAAAGGAATACAACAAAATCAGGAGACCAAACATGTCAAACAGAGATCTTATCACTTGTACCAAGTTATGCTTCCCCTGCTGACCCACACGGACAACTAGATTCTTCTAGAAACTTAAGGAGTTTAGTACTGCAAGGAGAATATTTACTATTGTTCTCAGCTTCTTGAAATTCAGAGTCTGACCCTGCTCTCCAGAGAAGATGCAAGGTGAATCTCAGAAGTATCAAAACACTTCAGCGCTTTCAAAACGAAAACAAAAATCTTTTTTTAAGTTTAAAAAACAATGGCTTGTACAAGACAAAGACAACCATTTCCAGGAAGTAAAACATCTAATTTATGAAAAATTATTTTTACCATTTTTCTCTTCAACTAGAAAAATAAAGGCTGATTTCTAGATAATGTAACCAACTTTGTTTCCAAATTTCTGCTTAGAGTCCTAAAGTATATTATGTTTACGTTCAGTCTTTAAAGATACAGACAGCAGCTAGAAGCAATTAACTGCAGATTGAAAGGGTTCTGTTGCTAAGTAAAGTCACAGGCCTGGATATGAGAACCAGTACCCAGGAGGGATGAAAAGCAAAGTTCACAGCTGTCCTGTCCAGGACTTAACATTTGTTACGAAGATGTATACAGGATCCATGCCCAGGAGGTACTTCACCACTGTCATCTAAACATAAATAAATAGATAAGCACATGCATCTCTGGGCATACAAGAAGTTAAAGAAGACATCTTTCAGCCAGTCACAGAACCGTAGAATCACTAAGGTTGGAAGCGACTTCCAAGTCCAACCGTCAACCCAACCCCACCATGGCCACTAAACCATGTCCCCAAGTGCCACATCCACATGTTCTTTGAACCCACCACCCCCCTGGGCAGCCCCTTCCAGTGCTTGACCACTCTTTCTGTAAAGAAATTTCTGCCAGTATCCAATCTAACTCTCCACAGGTGCAACGGAAGGCCATTTTCTCTTGTCCTGTCACTGGTTACACAGAATAAGAGACCAACACCACCTCTCTACTTCCTCCTTTCATGTAGTTGTAGAGAGTGATGAGGTCTCCCCTCAGTCTCCTCTTTGCCAAACTAAACAACCTCAGCTCCCTCAGCCGCTCCCCATCATTCTCGTTCTCCAGACCCTTCACTAGCTCTGTTGCTCTTCTCTGAACGCGCTCCAGCCCCTCAATGTCCTTCTTGGAGTGAGGCGCCTAAAACAACACAGCACTCGAGGTGCGGCCTCACCGATGCCGAGTACTGGGGCACGATCACTTCCCCACTCCTGCTGTTCACACTATTTCTAATACAGGCCAGGATGTCATTGGCCTTCTTGGCCACCTGGGCACACTGCTGGCTCAGTCACATCTTTTCTGACCTGCTCCCTTGGGTATCTGCTGTGTGACTGTTTTGAGACAGTTCTCAAAGCACTGGGACTGATGGATATGCCAGAGAACACCTTGAAGCAGACAGATCTAGGCCTTGAAGTATTTCTACCAACTGCAAAAACAAACAATACACAAACATTTATGCTTCAAGGGGATCACAGGATACCTGTGCACCAGTGCACTTTTGGAAAATGTGTCCCATCGGACCAGAGATTTAATTACTTTGACATCAAAACATCTGACCTTACGAGCAAATGCCAACAGAGTTAAAGGTTTGGGGCTCTTCTTATTCTTTTGTTTCCTTTTCCTGTGTCCTTGTTAGGTAACAAGCCTAACATTAAAGTACAGTTGTTTAAATCTGAGAAATTAAAAATCAAATTCATAGTTCTCACAGGAATCATACTATGACACTGCAAATATGTGCTCAGTCATAAGATTTAATTCTTTTAAGAGCAAAATAACACTTGTGCTAGAGATGAAACTATAATAAATAACACAAGTAGTATCTGATTCCAACTGAGGACTGATTTTCTGATTTGTAAATACTCACTACCTTTGCATTCTCCTAAAGAAAGATATATTTCAACAAATCTATCAATGACAGTAATAATTATTATAATTATTTTGTTTAATAACAGTAGTTTTCTATCTACTACATATTCAATCTGATTATGTACCCATTTCTTCTTCTGACTTGTGTTCTGAGAAGTGCTCAAATATGCTGAAGCCAGGTAAAATAATTGCAAAATCACTACTGAAGGAGGCAAAAAGATAGATGTAGAAGGCAGCAGATCTTGTCTGCATGAACAATGCAGAAATACAAAGTAAACAGTTAAAAGAAAGTGACTATATAAAAAGAAATCACTTTTTTTTTCATCTTCAGAAAGAGCTCAGCTGCTAATTAAATTTTTATGCTAAGACTCATAAGAGAACAATTCTCTTCTTTTTTTGAAGCATCACCGATGGGCGACTGGGTACGAGACTTTGCTAGCTTGAAGGCAATTCCCTTTGTACTCTATTAAACAATCATGAGGACATACTGGTTTCTAAGCTGCCTGACACTTGGTGATTTATGTTCCTTCATCCTAACCAAAAGTACAGTCTATTACTATTCATAAGCCAGCGCAAGCTTGTTTAAATGACTAGGTGTTATTAGAAATTAATGTAGTCCTCGGATAAAGAAAACTCGTTTCTAGACTATTTCTATTATGGCCAAAAATACAGGCTCAATCATATGACGTCCCCTGGCAGCAGGTGGGCAACTTAGGAAGGTTACTTTGCATTAGTACCTTAAAATTTAGTATTAGATTTTCAGCTTTACATTTTCTGCATGTTTACATATTCACCCAACATTTCTAACAGGTTAACAAACACAACTTATATACTTCAGCCTGATAACATATATTTAAGGCACAAAAGAACATCCTTTAACTTCAGACGCCTTTAAATGTGACTTTCAAAGCAACCTAAGAGACAAAAGGAGCCCAAATTCCATTAAAAACATCAGTGAGAAACAGGTGCTCAAATTTTTTAGGTTGCTTTGGACATCCCAACATTATTGCCTACAACACTACACTAAATAAAAGTGCTGTTCTTTTCTAAGGACACAAGCACTTCCAGGTTACAGTAACTTCATTTCCATTTAACAGCATGTAGCTCTTTAAGATAGTTTCTATGCAAGCACCACACCACCGACTGCCCAAGGTAAAGGCACACAGTACTTCCATGACAATATGGACTAATGATGTTATTTTATTCAACCATTCACTGGTAGTGAATGAATCAAACATTGCATAAATATCCTCACAAAGTCTTTGACCTGTGCTTCCAGCATGGTCTTCATCTCCCATAACTAACAGCAGGCTATCGCTTAGCACCTCAACTTTTTGTTTCCAATACTGCTTACAGCAGCTACCATTCCCTGGCATCCAGCAGCATGAAATCAAGAAGCAATGACATTTCAAAGTTGCTAAGACTAGAGAAAGAGCAATGAGCAGTACAGCGCTGGCAAAGTTGGTAAGGTAGAAACCTTTAAATGTTAGAGTGGAAAAGTAAGTTCCCAACCTAGCAACAGGGGCAGGACAGGAACAGATGGAGCCAACGTTAGGATTTTATCGCTGTGTCTTGTAAGATACAAACTACCAGCACTGAAATCATGACTAGCATTCACCTCAGAAGCACCTACAGGCGTTACAAGGACTGCTGCTGGCCGGCAGCTCCATTTCCAGAGAGTAAGAACATAAAATTACACAGGGGCTTTCATCCTGGCAATCTTGGGGACCTAGACATCTGCTGCATGAGAAATGTTGATAGCACACCAGAGAGTTAGAGATTGCTTCCTAGTTTTAGGCATCAACTGAAAGACTTATAAGGGGAGTTTTGCTCTTTTTTTGGGGGGGGAAGGTTGGGTTTTTTGCCTTCTGCATTCTCTGAAGAATTTCTCTTCTCCACAGATGCAGGTAAGCGTTGTCCCAAATAACCAGTGACAGTAACTAAGAAAGTAGAGGACGGATAAGTACCTGCAGCATATCAAAGTACCAGAAGAGAATGAACATGAACTTGTGATTGTGATACTGCGTCTTTTGTACCAGATACTTAATGACCAACCCTTCTCTTTTCTAAGCATCACCTGTTGATAAGTGGATCTGATCCTGAAGTGGCTTTGTATGCAATTCCTCATTTGAACAAGTAATGAGACAGCAGCAAACCACAAGTGTTCATGAACCTCGTTTATAAATCACTTCTGAGGGTTTGTGAAATAAAGTTTAGCTCTGCCCAAAGTTCCTGACTGCGGCACTCTGCTGAGCAAACACCACTGCCTCTCCCACAGAAACGGATCAGCCGTGGCTGTGCGGCTGCAACTCCATTCTGCACTTCCTTACATCGATATTTTCTCAAGTATTCCCCAAACCAGGTCTCAAATCTAGTAGTAAAAGCTTTTATAGTGTACCTGCCATGTTCAGTTATGCAATCAGTTGTCCTGACAGTAAAACTGCATAGTCGTGAGCAGCATCAGTGAGGCTGATGTTGGTTGGGCTCTATATAGGTTGGCCTAATTTCAGGGTATATACACAACACATAACTCGGCGAGATTCTCACGCAACAGATTAGCAGCGCCAAAATTTGGAATGAAGAGCCATAAAGTACAGCACATTGTAGGGCACAGCAGCTGTGGAGATACTGAAATTATATTCTGAGAAGAATTTGCTTTAGGGGTTTCCAACAAGAGACCTTGGCTCAACAGAAAGAGCCCAGTGTTTACACTGGCTGGGTGCATTATTGCACTGAACACTGCTTATTCACATTGCTTTGCTCGCATTTGTATCCAAGGCTTTGACTTACCCACTCAGAAACACACTAACAGTGGGAAAAGCATTCATGTCGTGTTATTCGGTATATCTGGAGAGGATAACTTATTCTCAAGCCATGAGAAAACCTAGCCTAATTTATTCCCTATAGGTAATATTAAGAAAAAAAATAAAACTTTTCAGTGGTGATTTTAGGAATTTCTGCAAAGACAGAAAAATATGAAAAGCTTGAAATGGTCTGTGGCTGGAATGCAAAGTGAACGGAACCAAAGCAGACAGGACAGTGATGAGGTGAGATAAGAAACGACACCTGTGGTTTATCACCATCATTCTGCTCACCATATGGATG